TGTTATTTCCCCCCTCTATTTCTTGTTATTTTTACTATATTTTGCAACTAAGTGTATCATGTATTGCACTGGTTATATAAGGGGTGAAATGAGCTTTGAGGTGTTCTGATCCCAAACTATATAGGGACGCGGGTGGCGCTGTGGTCTAAATCACTGAGCCTCTTGGACTTGCCAATCAGAAGGTCAGCGGTTTGAATCCCCGCAACGGGGTGAGCTCCTGTTCTGTCCCAGCTCCTGCCAACCTAGTAGTTCAAAAGCACACCAGTGCAAGTAGATAAATAGGTACCGCTGTGATGGGAAGGTAAACAGCGTTTCCGTGTGCTCTGGCTTCCATCATGGTGTTCTGTTGCACCAGAAGCGGTTTAGTCAGGCTGGCCACATGACCTGGAAAGCTGTCTGTGGACAAATGCCGGCTCCCTCGGCCTGAAAGCGAGATGAGCGCCACAACATCACAGTTACCTTTGACTGGATTGGGGTCCTTTACCTTTTTTACCTATGGTTTTATACATCCAAACTAGCAGTTTAAACTTATCCCGCTAGCTAATATGACAAGTTTTCAACAGAGCCATGCACAACTCAGCTAACTGATATTTGGTGGCTGCTTGTCTTTTTAAAATGATTGCCCCAAATATAAAACCACACTTAATAAATTGCCATACTCATTCAATAATTTCAGTGATATTTAATCAGGGCTAGAATTGTGATAGATGAACAAACAATGTTGAAGTGCAACTAGATTGTGGATTACAACAGAGTGAATCCACCCATGCTTTGTAAGCTTGATTTGAGTGCTAGAATAACTCCTTTGGGCATTGGAAACTACTGGAAATTGCAGCCAAAAAGTAATGACATCTTGCAACTGTCTCCATAATAATTCTCTTTGGGATTTGATTCTCTCTCTCTCTCTCTCTCTCTCTCTCTCTCTCTCTTATTTTCCCCCCAGATCTTGCATCTGCAGCATCTCCAGATATATCAAGTCAACCTCGCAGCTATTTTGCCAGTGCTTGATATTATGGCAGGTAATCAGTAATAGCCATCTCCCACAAGGTGCAGATATTGCTAGTTTTCTTCCCAGACAACAACCTAGCAATCCATCCACATAGAGAGGAATCAGAGCATATCGGGGAAGCAGTGATTACACTATAATACAGAAGGATAATACAAGGAGGGAGGAAAACATTATAAACCAAACCCCACCTATTTACTGCTGCTGCTATTCTTCACAGCAAGACACCTGCTGCCATTACAATGTTGCAGACAAGGGAAGGCATCATGAGTCTTCATGAGGGCTGGAGTGCTGATACAGAGATTTTGGAAGTGGCAATTCCTACTTCAGGCTGTGCAAGAAATTCAACACATGCACGACTAACACTTGAGTAGAGTAAAAAGTATGAAGAAATATGAGCTAAGGTCTTGATGGTATTCTGAATTCATGTAACCCTGTGTACAGTAAATCCCCATCCCTCACTATGAACAGTAACAGTTTTTATGAACTACGGAGGATCAACAAAGATTTAAGAGATAAGCTATGTAGCATGGAAGATAAAAAAAGTTAAACACATTGATTTTAAGCAGCAGGAAGAAATGGTTATAAGGGTGTTTTATTTAGGTTTGAAAAAATGTTTACAGATGGTTTGTAAGTCTAAAGGAGGTGTTAGAAAAATGAAAGAGATTGCCCATGCATTGGGCAAAATGATGGAAGGGTTATAACTCTTAAACATTCACGCTTCCAAAGCTTCACTATAGATTTCGTCAAAGCTTAGTTGTGCAGAAGTGAATCACATTGACAAATCTTCTTATTTGGGTGGTTGGTGCAAGTAACGGAAAACATGCTTCTGGGGGGCAGGGAGTGACATTGCATTGGAGATTTCCCAGAGAGGATTCAGGAAGCCATTCCCCACCCCTACCCCCACCCCCATGACCTGGGTGAGTTTTGAACTTGCTACAGGTACAATCTACCTCAAACTGTGCCGTGTTAAAGGGATTAGTCAACACATGATGTTTAAAAACAAGCTGCAGAGCTCTGGCTTGAAGCAATGGGGGTTGCATTTGATGGGACCAGCTTAGGAGACTCTGGGTGAGATGCCTATTTCTGGCCATCTCCAATTTTTACCCAGTTCACCCACCAGATAGACGTCTGCTGCTCCTTGTTGCAATCCCATTGGTGGAATCGCCTTCTCCCAGCCCCAATGGAGAACATCTAGTACTGGAGTGGTGGTGGTCATATTTTGATTTTGGGAGCATGAGAACAAGCTCAAGGAGGATGAGGGAGCTGGAGTTCAGCAACACCATCCCTTACCAAAGGTTCCCCATACCTGATGTAAAGAACTAACTGGAGAAACTTCCATACATCTACCTATGTACTTAAAGAGCTTCTGGCGTGAAAGTCCTCTGAGAAATGTCCCTAGTCTTATCAAAATACTTTTAGCTTCCCAAGCAATAGCTTAGATGTTTCCACCTCCACATTTGCCTTGAATTTTGCTTTAGGCAAACTTTGGAGGTAACACTATGAACTTCTCAGCAAAGGAAGTTTTTAAGCTTTTAAATGATTTATAACTACAATACCTCCGCTGATAAGATGGCAGATAAAAGCTTCCAAAGGCACAACTGCCAATCTTCTCAAATCAGCTCCAATGAGAAATGAAGTCCAACCTACAGCATTCTAGGCAAGAAAGACAGTCCAGCACTAGCGGTTCCTTTCAGGAGTTCTGCACAACTCAGAAGGGGAAAGTGAGACAGGTAATTTCCCGTTCCTGCCCAATAATGCCACCATGTTGTTGTTGTTTAGTCATTTAGTCATGTCCAACTCTTCGTGACCCCATGGACCAGGGCACACCAGGCACTCCTGTCTTCCACTGCTTCCCACAGTTTGGTCAAACCCATGTTAGTATCTTTGAGAACACTGTCCAACCATCTCGTCCTCTGTCGTCCCCTTGTCCTTGTGCCCTCAATCTTTCCCAACATGGGGGTCTTTTCCAGGGAGTCTTCTCTTCTCATGAGATGGCCAAAATATTGGAGCCTCAGCTTCACGATCTGTCCTTCCAGTGAGCACTCAGGGCTGATTTCCTTAAGAATGGATAGGTTTGATCTTCTTGCAGTCCATGGGACTCTCAAGAGTCTCCTACAGCACCATAATTCAAAAGCATCAATTCTTCGGCGATCAGCCTTCTTTATGATTCAGCTCTCACTTCCATATATCACAACTGGGAAAACCATAGCTTTAACTAAAGGGACCTTTGTCAGCAAGGTAATGTCTCTGGTTTTTAAGATGCTGTCTAGGTTTGTCATTGCTTTTCTCCCAAGAAGCAGGCGTCTTTTCATTTTGTGACTGCTGTCACCATCTAGATGGTATAGCATCTAGATCAAGGGAAGTAATAGTGCCACTGTATTCTGCTCTGGTCAGACCTCACCTTGAGTACTGTGTCCAGTTCTGGGCACCACAGTTCAAGAAGGACACTGACAAACTGGAACGTGTCCAGAGGAGGGCAACTAAAATGGTCAAAGGCCTGGAAACGATGCCTTATGAGGAACGGCTAAGGGAGCTGGGCATGTTTAGCCTGGAGAAGAGGAGGTTAAGGGGTGATATGATAGCCATGTTCAAATATATAAAAGGATGTCACATAGAGGAGGGAGAAAGGTTGTTTTCTGCTGCTCCAGAGAAGCGGACACGGAGCAATGGAGCCAAACTACAAGAAAGAAGATTCCACCTAAACATTAGGAAGAACTTCCTGACAGTAAGAGCTGTTCGACAGTGGAATTTGCTGCCAAGGAGTGTGGTGGAGTCTCCTTCTTTGGAGGTCTTTAAGCAGAGGCTTGACAACCATATGTCAGGAGTGCTCTGATGGTGTTTCCTGCTTGGCAGGGGGTTGGACTCGATGGCCCTTGTGGTCTCTTCCAACTCTATGATTCTATGATTCTATGATTCTATCTGCAGTGATCACAGAGCCCAAGAAAGTAAAATCTCTCACTGCATCCATTTCTTCCCCTTCTGCTCCTATCCCACCCCAATTATATGAACACTGTGCAGTGCCCATGGATCCCATCTTCTCCATATGATGGATTGTGTGCATTCTTTGACTACTCTGTTACCACAATAAATACAGTATTTTTCAGGATAGCATCACTATTGTGAACACCAAGGAGCTAAATCTTGGGTCTGGAATGTCAACTTATATATGCACAAATTAAGCCTAAAGCATCTTAAGCGCTTTAGGCATCTGTTCTTTGCGTAGCAAGGGCTGATGTCAATGAACTCGATCTGCATCTCCCAGACAAACATGCCGATAGTTATCCTTCAGGTTTTGCACTTCTCCTAATTTTGGGATGCGGGTGGCACTGTGGGTTAAACCACAGAGCCTAGGACTTGCCAATCAGAAGGTCGGCGGTTTGAATCCCCGTGACGGGGTGAGCTCCTGTTGCTCGGTCCCAGCTCCTGCCAACCTAGCAGTTTGAAAGCACATCAAAGTGCAAGTAGATAAATAGGTACCACTCCGGCGGGAAGGTAAACGGCGTTTCTGTGCGCTGCTCTGGTTTGCCAGAAGCGGCTTAGTCATGCTGGCTACATGACCCGGAAGCTGTATGCCGGCTACCTTGGCCAGTAAAGCGAAATGAGTGCCGCAAGCCCAGAGTCGGCCACGACTGGACCTAATGGTCAGGGGTCTCTTTACCTTTACCTTAATTTTCCAATGCAGCTCTCAGTTCACAAAGCTTCTCAAAATGCCTTTTAAAAAGCGTATGTTGAGATGTTTAGAAACGCAGATAAAATATATTGAGAAATGTGCACTTTTGTGAGAGAAAAAAATAGGCTCAGAGACACAAAATTAGGAACATAGGAAGCTGCTTGATGCAGACTATTGGTCCAGTTTGTTCAGTATATTGTCCATGCTGGCCGGCAGTGACTCTCCAGATTTTCAGATGGGGTCTCCCCTAGACCTACTTGAGGATTCCAGGGATTGAATCTGGACCTTTCTGACCTATAAACAAGGACTGGAGTGGCCCAGGTCAATATAGCTCAGTTGGTTAGAGTGTGGTACTAGTAATGCCAAGGTTGCAGGTTCGAATCCTGTATGGGACAGCTGCATAGTCCTGGATTGCAGGAAGTTTGACTAGATGATCCTCAGGGTCCCTTCCAACTCAACATTTCAATGATTCTAACTTTTTTTTTGGAAAAAAAAATGAATATATAAATTACTATTAATTACAAGAATATTGTTCTTAATATGAATTTTCATGTTGCATGCATTTGCATATATGGAAATAGAATGGAAAGGATTTATGAATGACTATATGAGAAAATGACACCGAGTGGAACTAGACTGGTCAAGCCATCTCAAGTTATAGGATAGTAGGATTTGCTCTCAACAGTGACATTTATGGCCGATCCTCTTTGATGGTCCTGCTCCGTCATTCTTCTGCCTCTGCGCAGCCTGTTGGTTCTCCAGGTAACTATATCAATGAATTACTTTTGGCTGTGACACACGAGGAAGAGCAGGAAATATTGCCCAGCTCTGTCTTTACTGACACTATCTAAATCAGCCCATAACACTGTAAATCCTAACTTGCTCACAAGCGATAAGTTAATTAAAAGTAGTCCGCAAGTCTAGAAAAAGACTAAGAGCTAATGTGACCCAGCACACTAAATTCTAATACCTTTGAAAAATTAATATAATAGGCTGAAGAATCACAGAACAACAATGCAATAATTCAAATTTAGAGCTGCAGAAATGTAGCTTATTAATCAAAGGCATAAATAATTTTCAAGTGGAAAAGAAGTTGCTGTCAGTGTCAGGCACAATTTTACTGGCTTTGCTGGGGAGATCTTCTCTGAAGCCTAAACAGAGCTCGTATCCGTGCTTAGATGATGGAACCAAATTTTTATATCACCAGGCTTGTTCCTGTGGTATACAACTAACATTTTGGCTGTATGGAGATCCTCAGCCTGTATTAGTGACGGGTGAATTCCCCTTGATGCATCTCAATTTCCTCTTCTCCTTTTTTGTGATCTTTCCTTGTGAGTGGTGAAAAAGCAAAGCTTGAATCTTTTTGAGCACTCGCAAGGGCCACAGCTAGAGGAGGAGGGGCAGTAGCAATATTGGAAAGATCTCTCTCTCCAAGTAGTGGTCAACAGAACAGGGTGCCATTGGTCGCCTGGCTTCCCAATGTGGAGGTTGCTGCCAGTATATGAGAACGGGAGGAAGAAAATTGTGGGAATGTTGGTGTGATGCAGGCACAGCAGAACAAATGTGACACTCCTGTCATCATGGGTGTAGCCAGGGGGCAGAGGGGCAGCTGCCTCGCCTAAATCAAATAAATAAATGAAAATACTTAACTAACTGACCAATTGTGTCACAGATAACTAGGCTCTGCCCCCCATAAAGCCTGCACCCCCCCAAAAAAATCCTGGTTATGTCCATGCCTACCACTGCACCCATACCACACCAACCACTCTGCCGCTACTTTCTCCGTTACTAGCAAGAACCATGTTGGGAAGTTATATGAGTGACACCTACTCCACCAACCACCTCTCTGTCTCCCTCTCTGTCTCCATCTCTTTCTCTCTTCACCCTTTCCCCTCTCTCCTCCCCAACTCTTTTTCTGGAAGTTTCTATCTTTCTTCTTTCTTTGGCAATCACTCGTAGCCGAGTAAGATTGTCTTCCATAAACACGGTTTTAACAATGAGCCCGTAAGTGGCTGTGGAGGCCAATTCTGGACCCACACGTCCTTCCACAGTGGGGACATTGGTTTCCAGGTGGGAGTTGATCACGGTGTGGATTTGCCAAGCGTGCCTTCCACTTAGTACATTTCTCCCTTGCGTCCTGAGTTCGAGTGTCTTCAAAGCCCATGACACCTTTGGTAAAGGCTGTTCTCCAATTGGAGTACTCGCAGGCCAGTGTTTCTCAGTTGTTGGTGTTTATACTACATTTTTTTTTATTTGCCTTGAGACAGTCTTTAAACCTCTCTCCTTCCTACTTTCAGGTATCTAGAATTGTGCAACAGGGTCCTGGGGAAATTCAGTTTCACAGGAATCCATGCACTTGGGCGCCTGCCACAACACAGAACAGCAAAAAGGGCGTGCTGGGACTGGGAAGAAAGGAGGGGTGTCAATAAACTTTGCTACCACTATCACTGCTGTGTCTGCCCCACTGTCAGGTAGGTTTGAGAAAAGTGAAATGGAGAGAGAGGTGTCTGTTTGGCTGTCAGAAGTACAGCTCAGTTTCACAGTTTATTATATTACTTGCAGCTATCATTACTTGTACAGTGGTACCTCTGGTTACGTACTTAATTCGTTCCGGAGGTGCGTTCTTAACCTGAAACTGTTCTTAACCTGAAGCACCACTTTAGCTAACGGGGCATCCCACTGCTGCCGCGCCGCTGCCGCACGATTTCTGTTCTCATCCTGAAGCAAAGCTTTAAAAGTCATGGAAACCATGAGCACGGGCAATGAGGAGAGCGTGCATGGCCAGCAATTAGAAGTGAATGTGTTGATCTTTTATCCTGGTCCATTTGGCATGATTAGTTCAGTGTTCCTACGCGGTGAACAAATGTTTGCAGCTGGAGGCAAAGCCCAAGAGGAGCGGATTCCACAAAGCCATCTCTGCCTAATTCGCCTTGCCATCATCGAAGGAGCAAGGCAGCTAATCTAATTTCCAATGAGCATTCACTCACACATAGCCTCCATTATTATACATGCTTTATTGCTGGCTCCGAAGCCAGGCATTCATGTGATGACAAAAAGACGCTCATTTGATTTGCTAACGAGGGCAGGGTGTTGTTGTTGTTTTTTGTGGGACTGGAGTTCAATATATATTGATGGGTGAATTCAAGATGAAGTGTGGGAGGCCTCTGAAGCTGCATCCCCAGCAAGGATGTGGCTTCCTAATGCGAAGGAAGTGAGGCCTTTGTGACATCTGTAACGCCGGGATCGGATCAATTTGTGCACCATCTGGCAGCAAAGAGATCAGCGACTTGGAATCATAATGGCGCTATTTTGGCTCTCCCTGCAAATGAGCAGTTTAACAGCCGTCTGATGGTTTGCATGTTTGGTGCAAATACCCTGATAGAATTATGTGGCACTACGGGGGAGATGGGAGTGATATGTAGTGTTCTGTAATCTGGTTGCTAGTAGCACATATTGCGAACTGAGTGCAGGGCAGGAAAATAAATAGAGTGCTCTTCCACCCAAGATTGGGGGGTGAAGAAAAAACAACAACTGGCAGCTCTTGTCTTTCATATTTGTTTCTTCATTTTGAAAAATAAATAAATCCCCTTTTTTGTATTTAGTTATTAGAAATGCACACGGAGAGCCCGTGGGCTTCAAAAGCTGGGAAATGCAGCAGAGGCAGGCTTAGAAAGGTACAGTGCGCAATGTCTGTTAAGTAACAGTTTGCAAGGAAATTGCACTCATTAGGGGGCAATGGTAAATAGTTTTTATTTCAGTTTAGTACAAATTAAATCTGATTCAACATACATTGGGGATTTGTGGTTATTATTATTGCCAGGAATGGTGTTAAAGGGGGGGGGAGAGAAAAGATTTAGCTTATCTTGTCTACAGACCCTTCATTAGAACGAGAGATGTTTCCCAGCACCACTATTAGGCATTATCTCACTTTCAGAGCCGTTATTGGTAGAAAGTGCAGCGCTGCAATTAAAGGAAGATGCTGATGCTTTGGACCAAGTTCCGGCCATCTTGATCAATATTTAAGCAGCTATTGAGATGCACCCGTGGCGAATGTACTCATCAAACCATCCACCAGTCTGTTATAAGATTACTTCAGCTTGTGTCAAGAAAGGGGATATGTTCTGGAACATTAAATGATTCCGATTCAATGGGCTGAGGAGGTTTTAAGTGGTTGATTGCTAATTGTGCCCCATCGGTTGTGGCCTTACGTTATTAAGTATGGGTAAACGAAGACACTGTGCTGATAGGGAAGGCTTATTTGTCTCAGCCATTTAAGCTACACTTCTGAGTAAGCTCATGGCAGCTTTTAGCCACCCCGACACATGAGCACAGCAGGCCATGAGAAAGTCAGTGCCACGGGCTGAAAATCCAGCTTGAATGGGCTTTTGACATGTGTGAGAGATTTGCAGTCAACCCTAACAATGCTAGTTAGTATGTGAAGGGGTTAAGGACCACAGAGTTCTGAATTGCTAGAGTAGGTTTACTGATGTCACATCCCTTCTTCTCCTGAGAGGGAGGAAGTAAGGCTTATTTCCTGTTCTTCTCTCTCTCTCTCTCTCTCTCTCTCTCTCTCTCTCTCTCTCTTTCTCTCTCTCTGCCTGTAGGAGGTAGGCATGCCTCAACATATCTCTCTGCCTCAGACATATGTCTAAGGCTGCCCTTGCTGTATTTTTCAACTACAAACATTTACCTGCATTTGCTGCTGAGGACAATGCATGGCTGTAAGTAAAGTATATTTTAAACTTACTTCAATGCGTAGACTGTTTCTCTGCAGGAGTGGTAAAGGGGGCCAGTTGCCTCAAGTAGCTGGTAGACATTAAAAGAAGGTTTAAAAGCCTGTTCCTATGCTTCACTAAATCTGCCTACAATGAGATTCATACTCTGCTACTGATGATCTTTATGTGCAAGTCCTGTGTTTTAAAGAGCAGGCACCAACCATTTTTCTTTTGTTTGCTAACCTGCACATGTCATCATCATCACGGAATGTTCTAGAAAGGCAGTCCTAGATAAGCCATTACTCTGATTCAGCTTGCTACTTCCTTATGTCATGGATGGACAATTTGATCAGCAAGGACCAAGTGGAGGAGACTATGGCTCTGTTCCAGATTCACTCCCTTGTACCTCCAGGTAGGTCCAGTCTCTACAAGACGGTGGCAAATAAATCCAATTGTGCATTCAATGTACAACAGAGATTCAGATCTGCATTTTACTGATAAGAGAGGTGCTTTGTTGTAAATCGGATAAAAATGTGCATTTAAGCTTGTCACAGGTAATTAAGTTCCATGTGATGCTGAACAATGATTTTGGATTTACATTGTGAAAATAGCATATCTGTTTCCACAGATAAATGCTCTGAACATGTGATGCCAGCATGTAGGAAGATGGAAATATCCAT